CCTCCCGGCCCCGCCGCGGGGCAGCTCGGAGGGAGCGGGGGCCGTGGCACCCCCGGCTGCGGCGGAGGGAAGGCCCGGCCGCTCCTCCGGGATCCCCCGCCACGGCCCGGCCGGGGATGGGGACCGGGGGGCGGCGGGGAGTGAGGGTTTGGTTTTTCAGTGGGGAGTAAACGGAGGGGTTCAGGGCTGGTGGGTTTCCAAGGGAAGAGCTGAGTTCTCCTGGCGCTGGGTGAAAATAATGACTTTTACTTGTGCTTCCTTCCTCCCCAGCCCGGGGAGCTGTGCGCCCGTCGGGTGTGAGGTGCCGCACTGAGTAATGCCGTCCAACGTGCGGAGTGGGGAAACGCTGTTATCATCTGAGATTATTGCAGGGTACGTGTGGGAGGGACTGTGATCTGGTGGTTGGAGCCTGGGAATACAGCCCTGGTCCTCAGAGTTACACTCTGAGCTGTGACTCACCGTGTGTGTGTGGGGGGGGTGTGTGTGTGCGCGCTTTCAGCAAATCATTTATGGCCTCAGACAAAGCAGATTTTTCCATTAATTTAAATGAACTGTAGATTAAACAGGTCTTCAGCAGCAGAAGAATCACCCATGCTGTGATTCAGGATGGAGATCACCTGTACCCCACAGGTGTTAATAGTTAAATAACCACAGTGTGCCCTGAGTGTTGGGGGTGAGTTCCTGACAGCAGAGCAGTGTCCAGAGACACTTGCCCTCAGCAGGGTGTCACAGCGAGTGGTGCTCCCTGCTCCTGGCCCTGACTGGGGGCTGAGCCTTCAACAAGGACCCCCCCGCCGCCTCAACACACATGTCCTCACAGCCCCATGCTCCCCACAGCCCCCCCCCATGCTCCCCACAGCCCCCCCCTGCTCTCCACAGCCTGTGCTGGGTTCTGGCAGCCCCTTCCTGGCCCTCCCTCAGCATCTGCTCTGCCTCTCAGCCCAGACCCAGGCCCCAGAACCCGTCCCAGCCTTCTGCGAGCCCCCACATCCTTCCCAGATGAAGAAGGTCATGGCATGTTTGGGGGTGTTTGCCCTGATGCCAGGGCGAGCGGTCCGGCAGTGTTCCCGGCTCACCTGAGACCCCACACCTCTTCAGCTGTGGTTAGGCACGTTGCTCTCTAAGCTGCCTGAAAGGAGGGTGTAGGCAGGGGCTGTCAGTCCCTTCTCCCAAGGAACAGGTGATGGGACAAGGGGAATCAGCCTCAGGTTGCACCAGGGGAGGTTTAGGATGGATATGAGGAAAAATTCCTTCATGGAAAGGGTTGTGAAGCCTTGGCAGAGGCTGCCCAGGGCAGTGGTGGAGTCGCCATCCCTGGGGGGGATTCAAAAGCCGGGCAGACGTGGTGCTGAGGGACATGGGTCAGTGGTGGGTTTGGCAGTATTGGGTTGATGGTTGGACTCGATGATCTGAAAGGTCCCTTCCAACCTGGGCAATTCTGTGGTTCTGTACAAAGGCTGGGTGGTGGAAAGGGTGTTTGTGCCTGTCTGCTCCAGGTGTCCCAGGGCAGCTGGAGCTGGACAGGAGCTCTGGGGATCTCCTTGTCCATCAGGCTCACGTGAAGGTGTCTGGAGTCCACGCTGCTGCGGGAGAGGATGGCGGGCGGAGGCTGCAGCGTGTCGTGGATGCTGCAGGTAAGTGTGGCGGGACCGTGCGCATTCCCACTCATCTCCCTCCACCAAGACTGGTCACCCCAGCTTGGGCTCGGGCCTGAGCAGCCCCAGAACCAAGCTTTTCACACACAAAGATTGTCTTCCTCACTGCGGGGTGGCTTTTTGAGGGTTTCCCCCCACGCCTGGTCCCTTCCCAGGCAGCGGCACTGCCCGCCTCTGCCCATCCTGCCCCACCAGTGTGGCTTCCCGGTCCTTCCTCCTCCACCCTCCTCATCCCAGACATGGGGCCGGGGACGCGTGGGGGCCGGGACGTGGGGGTGGGCAGCACCGAGGCCGGGCGAGCAATCACATGCTGGGGAGGAGGGAGCAGCGTCTGTGGCACTCTGTACAGGGTTGAGAGATTGCTCATGACCACGGCACAGTCCTGCAGTGGCTGGGGGGGGTGGGTGGGGGAATGTCAGGATTTCGCAGTGATTTATGTTTTTTTCCCCTGCGACGGGCGGATTGCCCCTGGGGAGCTGCCCTCACCCACCTGCGCGGGGACTCGGAGGGGCAGGAAGGGTTTTGTGCTGCTCACACAAGGGTCCACGCTGAAGGGGGGCAGTGGAAGATGCTTTGCTTCAGGAGAAAGCAGGTGGTTCTTGGTGCTTTGCATTTACTGCTTTGAATTTACTGGTTGAATCGGATTTGACCCCATTCGGTGGTGAAAAGGACAAATGTCTCACTGAGTAGAGGGTGGAGGAACAGCCCCACTGCCCTCTCTCGGTATAATTGACTAGAAAATAGTGTTTTATACACAGACATCTCTGGTTCTGGGCATCTCTTTCTTGCCCCGTAATGAAACCTGTGCTTATATGGGTGGAATGGCAGACAGACAGACATACGCCTGGCACGGACATACCTGTGTCTCGGTGTGAGTTGCTGTGTCACATCGGAGGTAACTGCGTTTTGAAGCTGAGGCAACGCTCAGTAGTAATAAGCATATCACAGGAAACTCCAGAAGAATCAGAAAGTCTGTTTGGATCATTCCCATGATATATTATGAATAGTTATTTTTTGTTATGGTTTCTCATAACTGATTACTGATTCTCATTTCTAATTACTCAGAATCTCAGACTTAGGCTATGGACCCAAAGAGAGAAAGTTGGCCTTTATCCCAAAGAGTTTACAGCTTTGGTGGAAAATCTTCATGTGCCCATAGTTCATCGAGCACCCATATGTCCCGAGTAACCCTGTTGTGTGCAGGCAGCCTGAAGCAAAAATCAGCTGTTTGGAATACAGACTTTTTCCTGTCGTTGCCATGGCGAGGTTTCTCCCCGGGCTGTCCCGGGGGTGGGGGCAGCCTGGTTACACCTCTTGCTGCAGACACCCACGGCCTGGAGCAAGGAGCAGTGGGCACACCTAAGGACGGTGTGGATGTGCCTCTTTAATTGGAAGGGAATCCTCACAAAAGGGAATCCGATTCATTTACTCTAAATATTTAAGTGCAATCTTCTCGCTTTAACACCATCCCTTTTTTCCTGCAATATTGCATCTTGCCCCTGAAATTAATAGTTAACCACGGAGAAAGACAGGTCTGGCAGAATGGAAGTCAGGCACTCTATTATCCCATGAGTCACGTACGTGCAGGGAACCAAACAAGTGTCAGCCAATGGCTCCGAGCCCAAAATATGTCAAAGAGGAGATGCGTATCTTCATTTATATTAAGTAGATAGAAAGCTTGTTGCCGTTCCCATTAAAGAGGTTGGAGTTCTGCCACTGGCTGTGGTGGGAACGGGATCGGGCCCATGCGGTGGGAGCGGGTGCTGGTTGCCTGCCCTGGCTGTATTTTCTGTGCAGCAGGTAACTCACGTTTTAACACCCATTTCCAGTCGACAGGGAGACTCAAGAGCTCCCCTGGTTCTGGGCATCGCTCCCTCCTGTGCTGGTCTGATGGCTTCTCCCAGGACACGTGCCACCAGCGCGGGCAGCGACGGGGGGTCGGTGGCCAGAGGCTGCAGGGAGGGACCGGCACAGCGCCTTCTCCGAGCAGGGCTGTGTGACTTCTGATGGCTTACCTTTAAAGTAAAGAAATCATATTTAGGAATTAAGTAAAATAAATAATTAGGCATTCAAACTGCTTTCTCTGGCAAAACCCCGTTGGAGTCAGGGGAAGTCTTGGCTGAATAAATGCCTCAAAATGTGTCAGAACTTTCTTGAACACGAGGGAACTTTTGCACCTCGGTTTTCTCACTCTGGGTGTTCCCTCCACAGCTTCCAGTGTGTCCAGCTGCAGACCTGCCCCGAGAACCAGAGAGATCCGGGGCTGCTGGTACGTGTGGGATCCACCACGGGGTTTGTCCTGAAGTCCCACGGGAGAGGAGGCGATGGAGCAACCACCAGGGAGTACACCCCGACCAGCCCCGTGAGGTGAGGCACCAGACCCTGCTGGACACGGAGTGTCCGGTGTTCTGGCTTTGGGGACAAACTTGGAGTCCCCTCTGTCACATATATGCTTTATTTTCGTTATGTTGTCATTTATACATTGGGGTTTAATGTGCTTTGGGGGAACCAAGTTCAGTTTGGTGGCCCGGGAATGTATAGTCACTAACTTTTTGAAAGTTATTTTCACATTTTTATTGACGTGCCACTTCAGTCAAAGCCCTGGTGACAGAGGCCAGCTGAAACGAGTGTCTGTTGTTGATTCATAATTGTGCAAATTAGCATTTAGACTTCTCATAAAATAATATAAAAATTTGGAAGGCTGTGTGCCAGTGCTGCTTGCTTCATTCCAGGCAGCAACCCTCCTGTGTTTACTGGAACTCATGTTAAGTATCAAAAGAATGGGATTGCCAGGGTTTTCATACCAAAAATTTCTTGACCTATCTTATTATTGGTTACAGAATTGGCGTATTCCAATTGTTTCTGGAGGCGAGGGGCGTTGCTATTGGCTACAGTGAAACTGGGATTTGATTCCCTGGACTCCCGATTTAAGAATAGCAGTGTATTATTTGGCTTGCTAAGTGAGGAATGTATATAATAACTCTATTGGCAATGTTTATTTGAAAAAGTCAATATATGATTACCACATGAAAGCATCACGTTCTGATTTTAAGTGAACATGTAGGTAATGTAAATAAATAAAGCTCTAGGTATACTGTTTGATGTTTGCATTGGGAGCAATAACCTTTGCAAATATCACATCAAGAATCCTGAGCCAATAAAACCCATTTGAAGGCAGCCTTTGCTATGGGAAGGTCCAAGTGGGTATTTCACAGACCCGTAACAATATATAGCTCATTGTGTAATACGTGAAGAGTGTCATTCACATTTTTAATCTAGCTCAGGTAATTTATTTTGTAATTTGATTACCAAGTGGTGTAGGAAATCTGATGTTTTCACTATCAGTAATAGAACTGTAACTTTTATTAGCTAATTTGTGTATGGATGATTTCCTTAGCATTTTAAACAGCGGCAGATGTTTCTTGACGTGACTGCTGTTCGTCATGACTTTAGTGCAGTAGCTGGATGTGTTCCTCAGGCAGTGACCTGCATTATCCCTGCGAGAGCGCCCGGCTCAGAGAGACAGAGGGAGATTTTGCGTTTTCGTTTAATGGGGTGGAATTTGCTCCTCCCCTTGCAGTAGCCGACAGGAGAAGGTTTCGAGTAATGCAAGCGTTTTGGGGCTCAGCTGAGCACTACAGATCTTGGTATTTGTGTTTTGTGCTCAGAACTGAGCAGAGGATTTTAAAGGCTGATGTCTGTCTGTGCGAGGTGCCTGCTCCGTGCCCAGTAAGGGTTACAGGGGTCTTCTCGGTGGTTTTACTGGGTGTTACTGGTTGGTTTGGAGGGAGCTTCCTGGAAGGACACTGAGTTGTGTCCAGCTTTTCTTCCTTGGGCACGCTGCTGCCAGGGAGAAGGTTTGGGTATGGATGCAGCCGCTCTTCCCTTCACAAACCAGGCATTTGGTGGTGCCACCACGGGCAGGAGCACAAACCGGGCCCTTGGAGACGAGGAGGGACGGATGTGGAAGAAAATGTGATGCTGAGGGAAACTTAGAGCAGAGAGAAGGAAAAAGGCTGGGACTAGGATGTAGAAGTGAGGATTTTTAGAGTTTGATTCTGCCAGTGGCCAGATTTGCGCTGAGTTTACCTGGATGGGGAGCAAATGTTCAAGGAGAAGAACCCGGGAAAAGGGAGAGAGGGGTCCGGGAGAGAATGCGCTGCCCCACGTCTGCTCCTGGAGGGGTCTGGCACCCGAAATGGGCTCCAGCCGAAGCTGGGGCACGTGTGTGTGCTGGGGGGTGGCAGGCAGGCTGTAGGCGTGCTGAGGCGTCTTCGTTTTTTTAGCTTTCATGCTATATAACATAATCTGTTTATTTAGCAAAGCGTGTTTTTGCCCCAGTCAGAGTCATTTCCCATGAAAAGCAAAGTGCTCGTGCTGGAGGAGTGCTGGGTTTTGTGAAATATGAGAACAAGGAGAAAAGTTTCAGAAAATTTTGAAGCATAGGGAAATCCTTCCCTGCATTTCTTCCATGTGAAGGGACAGCAGGGGAGAGGAACAATTCGGGTTTGGGGTAGGTGTGCATCCCGGGCACCCTTTTATCATGTCCCCCTGCTGCAGGAGGAAGCACACGGTGACACTGTCCCGCAGCTCTCTGCCTGTCACACAACAGGGAAATAAGCTTTCAGGGAAGAGTTGTCAGTCAGAATGTGCATGTCGTTGTGGGGCTTAAAATGCCTCCTGATATTGCCATTTCACAGGGCAAAACTTACCCCATAAGCAGCTGTGGATCCCAGAGACAGCATTTGCATGGCTGTGTGTGTATGGTGCCGCTAATTAGTGTACGTTGTTGCTGTAGTTCAGATGAAAATTATTCTTAGATGTTGAAAAAAATGTGACATTGTTGCACAAGCAAATTAAGCTGTTGTTTATGTGTATGACACGTTTCTTTTTTGGACACAAAATACAAGTTTTCAGGAAAATCTTGCATTCTGATTAAAATGCAGGTCAGAGAATCAAAAGGTTTTCAAGCCAAATTATATTTTCTGGTAATCAAAATGTATAGGCTGCTCTAGATTTCCTTTTAAAATGAGTTTTATGTGTTTCATACGTGACTGCGTTAGTAGAGTCTATAATCTGTTGGCAGTTATGATTTCTGGACCTTTGCAATTTCAGTAATTTTATGTGCTAATAAATGGCTCATAGGCAGCTCCCTCTTGCCAGCCAAGACAATAATGCTGACTGGAGAATCAGGAGACTTTAAAAGAAAAGGGAAACAAAACAAAAAAAAAAGAAGGAAAAGAAAAGGAAGAAAGAGAGTGATAAATGAGGGGATTTTTTCCAATTTTGTGCCTTGCACTCCTTTAGCTTAGTGCACTTGAGCGAGGTTTTCGAACTTCTACTGTGCTCATGCTCTTTAATGACAAAGCGCTAATTGTCAGGAGGTGGGTGAGACGCGGTTTGCGCGGAGCCCTGTGTTGGGAGCGTGAGCTGGGGATGCTGCTGAGCATCCTGGGGCGCAGGGGGAGCAGACGTGCCTGCCTGGCTGCTGTACCCCCCGCCATGGGTCCCCGGGAGGAGCAGCATCACGGGGTTCCTGTGCGGGGGGACACGATGCTCCCGCCTGGGGACGGTCACCCCGCGCTGTCCCCGCAGCCCCGGTGTGGGGGGGCTCTGGGGTGACGGGTGGGAGCAGGGGTGTGTGTGTGCCAGGCTCCCTCGGCAGCAGGGAGGAGGGAAACAAGCCCAGACTACCTTAACTGCGAAAGAGTGACTCAGCTCTTTCTGCAAAGTTTGGAGTTTCAGCAGAATATTTTTTCCGCTATGCTGACAGCTTTTCCACCCACGTATCGCATTCGTGGCTTCGTGCCACAGAGGTATTTTGGGATTACAAAGCCTAGTGTAAATTTTTAAAGTTACGTATGCAAAAAGGTGCCTTCTGGATCCTAAAGTGCATGGACTGTGTGTAGAGTGTAGGGAGTAGGAGACGTCTTTGAAAAAACCAGGGCTTGGGGAAGATACATCCCCATCTATTGTTTACCTCTTTTTATTTATCCCACCAGAACCTGACCTACAATGTTTTCAGACAGCCTGTATCCACAGAAACAGAATCACTATGAAATTCCCCCAAAGTTTTGGCATTGTTTTTATCATAGGGCTGAGTTAGTCATGCACATACCTGGTATATACTGTTCTTTTCTTGATCCTGTTACTGTAAGGCATTCCCAGCAGATCCCGCAGGGAAAACGGAGGGAGATATGCAGGGAATTAACCCTAATAAAACAAAAAGGTTTCTTAATCTGTCAAGTGTATTGCAATATTGGGTGAGTTACTATACTCAACCAAAGACAAAGTTGGACGGAGTGTGCCTGTAATATTCTTCCAGCACATTGAGCCATTACATGCGAATCTATCCCCTCTGCTCAGAGCAAGCCCTTTGTCAGTCCCTTGTGCAAGACGGTGACCCGCTCTCACCCTGTGACTGCTGCGTGAATCAGGAGGGGCTGAGGAGGAGGAGGAGGAGGACAGTTAGGCACTGGGGATTCTGCTTGGTCATTTATGTCTTCAGGCAGCCCAGCTGCGGAATCCAAAGGTTTGCTCTGTTGTCACAATTATTTTTTTCATGCCACAAATGCTGATACAGCAGCAAAAGCCTCTATCAAGGGCCTCACCACATCATGGGACTGGAGAAGAAAAAGAGCAGAAGTCCAGGGGAGTGATGTTAGTGACCAGTAACCACCACCATGGCAGATGGCTCTTGTAGAGCAGGCAGGGCTATGGCTTCTTTTGACTCCGTGTCAGCTGAAGGAGCAGTAATTCCTTTGTGATGTCCACAGCGCTCCTCAGCTTTCTCTGGGGTTTGGATTTTGGGGTTTGGCATTGTGTTTTGTTTTGGCCGTTTATGAGGTTACTTCCAAAGAGAAGATATAATACAAAATGACAGCATATATTAAGCATAAAAGCCTTGCTGTCCTCTGGGAGCTGTCGGAGAAGAAAAGGCAGAGCCACTGAAATGCAACCCCATCAACTGTCAGAAGCGCCCACCGGCAGGTCAGCAGATCCCTGTGGTCACTGATGGACAGACCGAAGGCAACCAAAGGACGAGTGACTTCTGTCCCTGGCTGGCAGGAGGACGCCAGCCAGGGAAACAAGCTTAGCCTTTGTTTTGCCCTCAGGCTGCAAATGGACCAGGAGATCGGTCCTCCCAACACCTCACACCGAATCCTGATCTTATTTTTCTGTTGTCACAGTGGGGCAGCTTGGTTCCTCTATTGTCTGGTCCAGCAGTGTTAAAAGAGAGGGGGAAAGTCCTGTGCCAGAGCCCCGGCGTGGCACAGTTCATCACTCTGGCTGAGTTTGGAGATTTGGGAGGCTGGAATTCAAAGTGAAACTTGGTGGATGTGAGTGCCATGGGAACCAGGGCGAGA